TTCTGCCCCTCGGGGAGCTGTGCCGGCAGCGGGGGGGACGCTGCGGCTGATCCTATGCAGGAACGCGGTGATGCCGGCGTGGGGCTGCCCTCTCCCCAAGCTCACGCGTTGCTGGCGGCAGTGCCGAGCGCTTGCCTGGTACCTGCTCCATGAGGATTCCGCTGCCGAGGGAAGAAACCAGCTGGCTCAGCACTGCCAGAAGTAGCTGATATAAACCACTTAAGGATACTGATATAAACCAAAGCAGCGGGATTGATCCCAGTGCCTTCCTCACTGCAACCCTTCTTGCACCCCGGCTTGCTCCCCCTTTCCAAGGCGGCCCTGCTACAGCTTCATCACGACCAACCCCAATGACTCTGTGCTGAGAGGGGCTGGGGGGGCCCACGGGCACCAGCCATGGGCACCCCACGTACGGATGGGCATGGCCCAAACCCCCCAGCACTGAGCCCGACCCACCTCCCCAGAAAGTCCCTCTGCCACCAAAGCATCCACCAGCCGCAGCGGGGACAACTTGCTGAAGGGCTGAGACAGCTTCTGCTCTCACCCACAGCTGCCAACTGCACCCCCATTCCAGGGCCGAGCACCCCCTTAGCTGAAACACGGGGCCTGGGTCCTGATGTCCCAGTATGAACCAGTTCTCCTGTGGGGACGGCTGCTGCTCGCTCCGGCTGCGCTGGCTGCTCTCGAGCAGGGCTGGTCCAAGCAGCCCCGTGGTGTTTGCAGCCCCATCCCTATGGCACCGGCTCTGCCGGGGATCACGGCGGGTCTCCAGCTGCGCCGAGCTGCTCACCGCGCTCACCACCAGGTCCCTTCTTACTGGTGACCATGGAGATCATGGAGGTGACCAGTAAGGACCATGGAGGTGACCGCGGAGGTCATCAGTAAGATGCAGGAGGCTCATTCTGGAGTGGCAGGGGACCCAGATCACCAGCTGCAAGGCACAAGCGTCCCTGTCCAGCGGCGGGCTGGACACGGACCAGAACCTGCATCTTAGCCCGGCCTTATGGGGAGCTGATAGAAACGCTGGCGGTGGAGAAACCTGACCCCGACAGACGTCCCTTCCTGAGGGGCTGGATGGAGGCGAGTAGGTTCCCAATGCAGGAGGACCAAAGGTGGGAGCCACCTCTGCAGCTCTGCCCGGCCCCGTGGCCGCAGACATTTATCAAAACATAAAATAAAATTCAGCATTAAAAAATTCCCAACGAAATCCTCAGGAAGGCACCTCTCTGCCAGTGGCGGAAGCCTGGAGCATGATGCTCACGTCCCAACAGCCGTCAGTGACACACGCCATGGATCCAGCTCCAGGTGCAGCTTGTCCTCATCCGAAATCCCAGCCTGCACCCACAACGGCACAGGCAGGCAGGACGGTCGCGACGGGCCCCCCGGCACGGTGGAGCGCCAGGGTAAGCGTTTAAACACACGTCCCGCCTTGAAATGGGAGTCCTGGACCACAAGTAAGAAGCCAACCGCAAAGCCGGAGCTGGCGAGTGGAAGCTCGTAGCCGGAGGCAGGGTGGGGGCACCACTCTCCCGAAGCCGGCGGCTTCACCGTGGCATGTGTCTGCTTCCCCGTCCTTGAAAGACCGGACGGGGGTGGGCTCCGGCGGGAAGCAGTGCTGGGGGCCACCGCATCCCAGGAAAGCTGGAAATGGAGCTCCCAGTTGAAGTGCTGTTTCCTGCCAGCTTTTCCTGGTAAAGCAAGGACGCATTTTTCCAACCGAAGAGGCTTCCAGTGACCCCCCAGAGTTGGGAGACAGGGCAGGGGGGTGACGGGGCTCTGGCAGCCCCTGGCTCTAGGCAGTGGCCTCCAGGACCCTCCATCTCCACGCCCCCTGCTCCGTTTGAAGCACACACGATGTCCACGTGGACGGCAGAAAGGTTTTCCGAGGAAAAGAGGGATCCCACGTTTCTGTCCTTGCGGGTGCCATGGGCACCCCACCTCCCTGCTGCATCCCCCGGGAGGGCAGGGCAGGGGTCCCATCCTGGAAGCCGCTCGGAGCAGGCACCAGGACTCAGGAGATGCCCAAACCGCTGCTCCACGAGCCAGCAGCTCCGGCAGCACCCGCGCAAGCAAACCGGAGGAGCGCAGGGCAGCAGCAAGGGACCAAGGCTGCAAGTGTCACCTCCAAGGGATGAGTCGGGTCGGGGAGAGCAACAGCGGTGTACGTTCCTGTCCACAAGTTTTGGCTGCGAAACTGGGTCAAGGAGGGAAATTTGGGGCTGCCTTGAAAGAAATCTCAGACCTCTTTGCCACGGAGAGGGTCTTTCACCCTGATTCACAGGTGCTGCTTCCCAACACCATCCGGCACCTACAGCTGATGGTATTTTAATTTTAATTTAATTACGAGCTTCTACACCACAAGGGTTGTTTCTAACCTGCCAGGCCACGAGCGCGTCCTCGGCAGCACCGCTGGCCTGGCTCCGGTTTCTTGCTGATGGAGGGATGTCAGCCCCCAGCACTGGGAGCAGGGCAGGGGACCACGGCAGGCGCAGGGAGCCTGCCTGGGGCAGCTGAGCCCTTCCTCCAGCCCCGCACCCCTCCCCGCCGCTGGGAAAGGAAACCCCGGTGTTTCCTCTTGTGCAACGCCGCAGAGGCAGCGGGGGCCGGGAGGGAAGCGAGGGGAGAGGCCGGGGCGGCCCGGGGGGTAATGCTGCAAGCACGGGTAACGCTGCAAGTAGCGTTGATGCTGCAAGTAGCGTTGATGCTGCAAGTAGCGTTGATGCTGCAAGTAGCGTTGATGCTGCAAGTAGCGTTGATGCTGCAAGTAGCGTTGATGCTGCAAATAGCGTTGATGCTGCAAGCACCGGTAACGCTGCAAGCACTGATAGCGTTTCAAACGCCTCTCGAGTGGGGCAAGGAAACCACGAGCACAGAAAGGCTCAGGCCATTTAGGGGAGGAGCGGAGTCAGGTAATACAAACCAGGGACTCTCCAACCATATCTCTGCCCCGAGCAGTGGGACCTGCCCGAGCGGCTTCTCCTCCCTCCGCAGCACCCAGGGGGGTCCCCAGAAACCCGTGCAAGGTCTTTTGCCTGTGGCTTGATACGCTGCCG